CCCCGTCCCCGAATACTATAGAGTAGTCGACTAACCAATAAGAATTCATGAGGTTACTCGACTATTCAATTAACTGATATTTAACATCCCTAATATGAAACAACAATTTAGCAGGGTCCTCAGAGCAATAGTCATTAAATTCTTGCAAGCTGGAGAAAGAAGATATTTTGGGCTACCACTGCTACCTAGATATCAAGAAGCAGTGATTAATCTAGTACAGTGATCTCCAACCTTTTTAACCACACAATCGCTTTTTTCAATTTAAGTGCAATGTAAGATCTACCTCAAACCCAAATACCCTTGCCCTGCTTCCTTCCTGCCCCTTCTTTGAGGCTCTACCCCTGCTCCACCCCTTCAGCGAGGCCTCACCCTGCTCACTCCATTTCCCTTCCTCCCCGAATCTCATTCACTTTCATCAGGCAGGGGTAGGGAGTTGGGGTACAGGCTCTGGTCTTGGGCCAAGGGGTTTGGACTGTGGGAGGGGACTCCATGAAGGAAGGGAGAGAGGAGGGATAAGTTCTGGAGTGCCCATGGGGATAGAGCATTTGCCTGGGAAGCGCAGGGTTGGGGACTTGAATCCCTCCATGCTCCCTGAGAGCATCCAGACAGCCAACACAGCTGCCCCAGGGATGCACCTGGCTCCTCCATTAGGAAGGCAAGATAAGGGACCCTCTGATGAAAGGGAGGTAGAGTGGGCTCTGGAGTGGCCTAAGGGATAGGGCATTTCCCTGGGGAGTACAGGGTGGGGGGTTCAAGTCCTAGCAACCCTGGAAGCAGTAGGATAGTCATCAGCAGAGTCAAGGCAGGCCCACTCCCAAAAGCACCTGGGATGTATAGCAGTGGCTCCATGCACCACCCCTCATCCACAACAGGCCCTGACCTCCACTGGTCACAGTTCTCCATTACTGATCAATGGGAGCTGCAGGAGCGGTGCCTACAGGCAAGGACAGCACATGGAGACCCCCTGTGATGACCCTCCCAGGGGCTGCAGGGACATGCCAGCCACCTACAGGATCACAACCACCATCAGGAAAATTACTCCAGGCATGACAGATTAGGCATTTTAAAACTCACTTCTCAAAGAATTAAATTTAAGCATAAGAGAAATGCAAGTTATGAAATGCACACACCAGTCAAAAACTAAAAACTAAAACCAACCCACTTTGCAAGCAGTAAAAGTAGTAATGATTCCCCATGTACGTGCTGGGTCAGGACAGTGTGTGTTTGTGAGAATGACAGACACACACACAGTGTGTGAGTGTGAAAGAGATTTGCATTTCCAAGCTCCTTCCATGCCGTTCTCTCTGTGTGGAGACAGGGTACATGAGTGGAGGGAGGAAGGACACCCTTACATCAGCACCTCCCCTCTTCTCCCATCCCACACCCTGCACAGCGAGCAGGAGGCTCCAAGGCAGAGCGCAGGAGGCTGCATGACAGTGGGTGGAGGGGCAACTGAAGTGCCAGCACTTGATAGCTTCTTGGCCAAACCAGTCAGGATCACCTGTCAGAGGCTCCAAGATCTACTGGTAGATCCCGATCTACTGAGTGGTGACCACTGATCTAGTAAAATGCAAAGGCTTCAGATTCTGATAGTCAAAATGACAAATGCCTTCAAATGAGCGCATTTAGTGTATTGGCTAGTTTGTGTCTTGGCTAGTCTGTGTCTTGATTAGTTCCTGAAGTGTTTCCTAGCCTATGGTAATGAGTGCTGTAGAAAAAACTTAAGTATAATTTTCCCCATTCTTCAGAACATCATTTCCCCTGGATTAAAAAATGCTTAATGGCTCTTCTTAATAAAGGTTTATTCCATCCAAAATTTCAGCTTTCTAGCTATGGAATAGTTTAACGGTTGTATATAAAAAACTTGTGTAATATATCATAAAAACAATTAGCAACTCAAAGTGGGGTCAGAATTACTCCAGTAATTAACTGTAGTTGCTGTTGGTATTCCAGCTAGAGAAAAGGAAAAACTATTTAAGCAGAATCAGAATTCAAGAAATAAAGAGTATCACTATGGAATTTTGACGAAGTTTGAATATAATTGAAAAATGCTACAGCAATACCAAAATCTTTTCTCTCATTTTTCCTCTTTTAATCAAACATCATGCGCTAAACCAGTGAGGAGCAACCTTAGCTAACCGTATGAATTGCCTTCTTTCATCTCAGTGGGCACAAGATTGTCATAACCGAGTCAGCCTCTCAATATAGAGTAGTTTTGCTAACTGAGCTTGCTTATCTAGAATTTGTAGGAAGATAGGAGAAGAGGAAGCTGTGTACCAAATTGGTGGCCCTGTTTAAGAGGAGTTGTTGAACAAATGGACTTGCGGACAGACACACCGACTCACTGTAAAATATATAGAGATTGTTTCTTTCTACTTCCCCGTCTCTTATGTTTAGATTGTAAGCTAATTGGGGGCAGTGACAGTCTTTTTGTTTTGTATTTAGCTTTTTATTCATTTTTATTTTCTAAATTATTTATTATTAGAACTATTTTGACCAAAAGGCGGTGTTAAGTCTGCAGACTGGACTGAAGTTTCAATTGTAAGTGCTGGAAAATGGCAATAAAAGTTATCTAGTATTTGCATCTCATTAGTTCCTGTGGTGACATGTGAGGCCTTTTTCACCATAAAATTCTTTTTTAAACAAATATGGAAGTTGAAGAAAAACATTTCTGTTTTTAGGATTCTGAAGGTGATACTCCTCTCCATGATGCGATAAGTAAAAAGCGTGATGACATCCTGGCTGTACTCTTAGAAGCTGGGGCAGATGTTACCATTACAAACAACAATGGATTTAATGCTCTCCATCATGCTGCACTAAGAGGGAATCCCAGGTAAATACTTTCTGTCTTTAGTGTTTTGCTCAGTGGTGGGTATCCTGTGGCCCGACAACCGCATGTGACCATTTGGGGTTCTTTGTGTGGCTCAGGAGACATTTTGTTTACCATTCCCAGGCACAGGGTTGCCAGATTCTGCTATTTTTTGCCTGCATAATTTTTTTCCCTACCGGTATTACAAAAGTAACATACACTTAAAGCAAGGGCACATGAAGTGAGGTACGTCCTGATTGCACACATTGTGAGAACTGTGTACAGGCAGTCCCCAGGTTACGTACATGATAGGGACTATAGGTTTGTTCTTAAGTTGAATCTGTATGTAAGTCAGAACTGGCGTCCAGATTCAGCCACTGTTGAAACTGATCAGTTTCAGCAGCAGCTGAATCCGGACGCCAGTTCCGACTTACATACAGATTCAACTTAAGAACAAACCTATAGTCCCTATCATGTACGTAACCTGGGGACTGCCTGTACACAGTTCTCACAATGTGTGCAATCAGGACGTACCTCACTTCATGTGCCCTTGCTTTAAGTGTATGTTACTTTTGTAATACCGGTAGGGAAAAAAATTATGCAGGCAAAAAATAGCAGAATCTGGCAACCCTGTGCCTGGGAATGGTAAACAAAATGTCTCCTGAGCCACACAAAGAACCCCAAATGGTCACATGCGGTTGTCGGGCCACAGGATACCCACCACTGAGCAAAACACTAAAGACAGAAAGTATTTACCTGGGATTCCCTCTTAGTGCAGCATGATGGAGAGCATTAAATCCATTGTTGTTTGTAATGGTAACATCTGCCCCAGCTTCTAAGAGTACAGCCAGGATGTCATCACGCTTTTTACTTATCGCATCATGGAGAGGAGTATCACCTTCAGAATCCTAAAAACAGAAATGTTTTTCTTCAACTTCCATATTTGTTTAAAAAAGAATTTTATGGTGAAAAAGGCCTCACATGTCACCACAGGAACTAATGAGATGCAAATACTAGATAACTTTTATTGCCATTTTCCAGCACTTACAATTGAAACTTCAGTCCAGTCTGCAGACTTAACACCGCCTTTTGGTCAAAATAGTTCTAATAATAAATAATTTAGAAAATAAAAATGAATAAAAAGCTAAATACAAAACAAAAAGACTGTCACTGCCCCCAATTAGCTTACAATCTAAACATAAGAGACGGGGAAGTAGAAAGAAACAATCTCTATATATTTTACAGTGAGTCGGTGTGTCTGTCCGCAAGTCCATTTGTTCAACAACTCCTCTTAAACAGGGCCACCAATTTGGTACACAGCTTCCTCTTCTCCTATCTTAAAGCAAGATCGGGTTTGGTTGTTCCAAGACAACTGGAAGCCATGGGAAAGGGACTATTTTCCATAATTGGTGGGATGTGGTTTGAGAACAACACATTAGAAGAAAGATCTCTGCAGCAGCATTCTGAGTGGATACGATTGGAGCAAAAATGCATTGTCAATGCCAGGGAAAAGAATGATGCAATGACAGATACGAGTTTGTTTTCTCTCACTGTGGTCAGCGCAACCATCTTATCACTGATGCCTGTAAACCTGAGAGTCCTCTTCAATTCAGAAACAGAGAGAAGGAGAATTAAGATATCTGTTATGGTCATGCTGATCTTTAACTGTCTGCTGAATATCCACGAGGAAGTGTCGGATGGATCTCAGTCTGGATAGATTCAAGTGTGGAATAGAGGCAGATCCATGTAATCTGAACTCAAAGAATTATGCATATTTTTCAAGTATGTAGGCAGTTTTCAGTTCAGTATCACCTACAAAAATCATTAACTACCATGTTTTCTGTGTATGTTTGGTATAAAAAGTGTCATGCATCACAAAAAGACAGCCATTAAAACAATTCTTGAAGTACAAGATTTATAAAAATTCAAATGTCTACTGTCAAATTTCAAATATAGAGTTCATAAATTTAGTTTTCATGCCTGTGACATAATTGTCACACAAAAATTAAAGCTAAGTGCTCCTCTAATAGAAATAGGAATCTGAACAAAGCAGACCAATGAAAAATGTGAAGCCTTGAGGATAATTAAGCTTGTTGTACTTTTAATGAGCAAAAGCGGAGATTTCATGGGGCAACGCTAAATTTTATAAATAATTTATAGCCAGTATCGACCACACAATACATGATTTAAAGGTTCTAGAAATCATAGAATACTAGAACTTGAAGGAACCTTGAGAGGTCATCAAAACTAGTCCCCTGCACTCTGGCCAGGACCAAGTACAATCTAGCTCATCCCTGACAAATATTTATCTAAACTGCTCTTAAATATCTGGAGATTACATAAGCTTCCTAAGTAATGTATTCCAATGCTTAACTACCCTGAGAGGAAATTGTCCCTAATGTCCAACCTAAACTTTCCTTGTTGAAATTTAAGCCCATTGTTTCTTGTCCTATCATTAAAGGTTAAGGAGAAAAATTTTCTTCTTCCTCCTTGTAACACCTTTGAAGTATATGAAAGCTGCTATATACCCTCTTCATCTTCTCTTTTCCGGACTATAAACCCAATTCTTTGACTCTTCCATCATCAGGTCATGTTTTCTAGATCTTTTATCATTTTTGTCGCAATTCTCTAGAATTTGTCCAATGAATCCACATCTTTCCTGAAATGTGGCACCCAGATATAGACAAAGCACTCCAGCTCCAGTGGAGGCCTAATCAGCACATAGTAGAATGGAAGAATAACTTCTTGTGTCTTGCTTACAACACTCTTGTTAATGCATCCCAGAATCATATTTGTTGCTTGCTTTATTTATTTATTTATTGATTGATTGATTGAATGATTGATTGCAGCAGAGTTACAGTGTTGCTTCATAGTGGACTACAAGCTAAATAAGATTCCTAGATCTTTCTCTCAATACTCTTTCCTAGACAGTCATTTCCCATTTTGTATGTGTGAAACTGATCGCTCCTTCTTAAGTGGAGTACTTTGCATTTGTCATTATTGAATTTCATCTGCATGTTTCAGCACAAATGTGAACAAATGGTTTATATTCACTTTTTAGCTGGCTGAGATTTTAGTTTTGAGAAATATTAGTTGATCCATTCCAACTAATCATATTTCTTCAACTTACTGTACGTAAACTAAAATATTTTTTTTGTGCAGTTGGTTGGCTTTAGAGTTAGAAAACTTGCCAGTCAGCTCCAGCCAAGTGTCAACCCCAAATGCCTCCTGCATTCTCAGCAAGTTCAGTGAAATTAATTGCTTAATTACATCCACATATTAGACTTCTCTGCACATGTGCATAATCTAAAAATTTACTACTGTTATAGGCATTTTATGATTTTCATTAGCTCTGGATGGTGTAGTTTCATAGCTAAATGAGTTTATGGCAAGGGCTTTGCAACTTTTCCTTTCAGATGCTGACTTCAGTACATTTTTCTAACCTTTTTCATCTTCACATTTATATGTGCATGCAGCTTCACTGAAGTTTCAGCTCAGGCAGAACATAGCTGCCTTTTTTAGAAGTGGGGAGTTGTTCATTTTTGAGGAAGCATTTCTCTCTTTTGCACTACAGTTTGCACTAATTTCCAATTAGCTTACAGATGCAGCTTCCCCACTCCCTGTGTAATAACAACATGATAGCAGAGATTCTCAATAACAGACTTCATGTTTAAATGGAATTCTGTTGGCAGGCATACCGTCTGATGGGCTCAGCTCTAAAAGTTGTTTTCTTCCTTTTTCTATCAGTCTAAATGTGCTTGCCTTAAGATCATCCTGCAACACTTTTCTTACCAGATTACATACACAAGGGTGCTGACTGGATAAAGAGAGAATTAATCTGCATGTTAAACATATGTGTACACTGTATCAATCACTATAGGTTTAAAATATTATACGTATGCCTAGACCAAGCATTTTAAATCTCTATATAAAACACAGAAATCAATTCAATGTAACACCCTTAAGAGGAAGATTTACAGCATCCATATACCATACTTGCACAAACCTCACAGCTTGAAGACAAAAAACTGAAGTCAAAATTTGTTTTACCTGGAGACTAGGATGGCAGCCAAAGTCCAGTAAAGTCTTCACAACTTGTAAATGACCTTTGTTAACAGCAATGTGAAGAGGAGTTTGTCTGCGTTTGTTGCGAGCATTCAAATCGGCACTGCCTCTGTGCAAAACCTCTATAACAGCACCTTCATCTCCAAAAGCTGCATGGTGAACAGCTCTATCTCCATCTTTATCCTAAAGTATAAACATAAATTTAAAACAAATTCCTTTTATACTACACAATTATAAAAAGACTACTTTAAATTAATCAATTAAGAGATATTTATCACAGTTCCACAATTAGAGAAAAAGCTATCCATGGCATCATTCAAACATTCAACTAATCTATATTAAGTTAAGTTCTAAACTGATCAAGACTCAATAACACATTTATGTACAATATGCAATAATCAAGGAAGAAAACTGTAACATTACCTTGTGACCACTGGCTCCTGCCTGCTCTGCCTCCTCCTCACGCTGCTGCCTCCATGAGAGGCAGGTGAGCCAGGTGGCTCCACGGGAGCCAGCTCCCCATGTGCACTGGCTCCTGCCTCTCCCCTCCCCTGAACTGCTACCTCTGATACAGGGGCAGCAGCGTGGGGTGGGGCAGCAGTGTGTAACCATGTACACGTTCACATCCCCATCCTGGATATTTTCCAAATTCTTGTGCACCGCTTGAGATTAAAAAGTCCAATCCTGGCCCCCTCTCACGCCCCATGCTGTTGCGTCTGTATCAGAGGGTACACCTACACTTGCTCCCTAGTTTGAACTAGGGATGCAAATGTAGGCGACTGAAATAGCTAATGAAGTGGGGATTTAAATAGCCCGTGCTTCATTAGCATGATCTCGCCGGCACATTACTCCGCTCAACAGCTGTTTCGAAAGTGAAAGTGCGTGCTGGGACACGTTAGTTCGAACCAAACCCCCTGGTTCGAATTAACGTTACTCCTCGTTAATCAGAGGGGGTATCACAAAGTTTGAGAACTCCTGGATTAACTGGTTATCTGTTCACATCCCTACTTTTAAGTAGTATGTTAATGAATTACTGGTAAGCTATTTTCCCCCTATTTAATTTCTCTTGCCAAAAGATTGAACTTAACACTACTGAACCATTAAAATAAATGCAGATGCTTTTATTTTAAATTGTGGCGTTCCAGGCAGATGTGTGCATTATTTCTAGAACTTCGATAAATTGTTACACTAGGGAAAAACACTGTATCACATGTTTTCTGTTCAGCAGAATCTTAACTGCACTACCTAGAGTAGGGGTGGGCAATTTTTTTGGCCTGAGGGCCATATTGGATACAGAAATTATATGAAGAGTCAAGTAGACAAGCCTGGGCCAAGACATGGTCCAGGCTCTACCCCTATCCAAATCACTCCACTTGCTGACCTTGATCCTAAGAGCTGCTGCAGCTGAGGGAGAGGCGCACTCCTCTGGCTTCAGCAGCAGGTCCTGATTCAAAAAGGGACTATGGAAGCTAAAATATTGCCTTATAACACAAAAAGCATCAAGAGACTGACTAAATGTTAAATGAGTGCAGTGCAAAAGATTAAATGCATTTCATCCCCAAAAATATGGAAGCAATTAATAGATATAGTGGTAGAAAGGAATTAGTGTAATCATGACATAGCTCTATTAAAGCTTAGTACGGATTTAGCCTCTCTAGTCTGGTAACATCCACAGTTCAGCATGATTTTAGTTAGCCAGATGTCCGCTTTTCATTGGCATGGCCAAGTTTCCCCAGTCCCATAAAATCTGTTAACAGCCACCAGTACTGGCTGTCAGCGTTCTGCGCTGTTATTTAACTCTAATTTACCCCTAAGTGTCTTCTAAGAGCCCAGTAAGCAGTGGAAGAGTTGATAATGCTACTAGATAATACTGACCTCCCGTGGTTCAGCAAATTCTCTGGTTTGGAACCAGTCAGGTCCCAAGAGTGCCAGACTAGAGAGGATCAAACTTTAGTAAATAAAACAAATCATATTTAAAATTACTTTACCTCCGCTTCCACATCCACATTCTGTTTCAGAAGCAATTTCAGAATGTCAACATGTCCATTCTGACTGGCGGCTTGCATAGCTGTGTGTCCAGCACACTGTCCATTAACCTGAAAGTATATTAAGAATACAAAGCTGATAAACAGTGTACATCAATACATAAACATCAGGGCTCGCCAAACCGCGGCGAACCCCTTTCACCAGCCGCATGGTTCGGCGCGCTGCACATGCACTGACCGCGCAGCGCGGCTGTGCCGGCTTGTAATCTACTCGCCATGGGCGAGTAGATTACATTAATTGTCGAGCCCTGAACATCAGAAATCACAACCAATAATATCAGCAAATATCCATGTTATAAAAACGGTTTATTGTCAAACTTACACCTCACTTCCATCAAAACTAACGCCTTAAATATCTGAGCAGATTTCAAATAATAAGCAGAAAAAAAGTCCAGTCCATATTTTAAGACAGTACAATCTATTAGTTTTTCCCATCTTCTATACTTATTAGCAAGAATAAAGAAATAATAATGTCTCAATTTTATTAAATTGCTAGCATGAAGATTTTAATCTTCAGGCTGCTGCAAAGGTGGACTTCTGAGGAGAAGCAGATTTCTAAGAAGGGAATCAGTTGTGCTTTGCATAATTTATACAGCCAAGTATATACATTCCTTTTTATTTGTTACATAAATCTGATTTATAATTCAAACTAACATTTAAGGCCAGTGATATCCAACCTCTGCACTTCAAAAGCATGCAATTTTAAAAGAAAATATGCAGGGCTCGACAAATAATACAATCTACTCACCCATGGCAAGTAGATTGTAACCCAGAAGAGCTGGGTTCGGGCGATCTGCGCATGCGCAGATCGCTGGACAGAGTTCAGCGAGCCATGAAAATATGTATTTGGCAACTGAAACACTTCCTGAACCAAGCTGAGCCCTATGACTCAGAAGGTTTTTTTTCAGCTCATTGTCCATAGGAAGGACAAGAACATCAGGAACAACAAGCTAGCAGCTTGACTGGCACAATAGTCTAGGGAAGTGCCTAGATAAGGATCGTTCTCCCTCTCCAACAAAGCCATCCAGGAGATCAGAGAAATTAAGGACAGTCACTAGTTATAGCTACTCAATTCCCTACCGCAGCACAAGTTAGAATAGTTGGAAGACTGTTTTAACTTTAAAAGCAACATATAGCACAAAAAATTTATTCACTGGGAATGGCTGTAGCACAGTGGCTTCTTGTCCCACCTCTACCTCCAAGGCTGTAGGACAGAGGCACAGGGACCAGCTACCTCAGCTCTCTGCATACCGGGGATTCATCCCTAGCAGAGGATTTGGAATCTAACTGTTCATTAGAAGCTTCAGGGGGTAGCCGAGTTAGTCTGTATAGTACTATAGCACTTAAAGTGCTACCAGACTATTTGTTCTTTTTTTATGTTTGTTCATTAGAAGTCATAAAAAAAAAAACCACTCACATCCACATCTGGTCTCTTTAGCAAATCTTCCACTTTAGCTACATCTCCATTAGCAGCAGCTTTAACCAGCTCTTCATTGAGGTCCCCAGATTCTTGTGTTTCAAACAGTTTCTTCAACAGCTGGGACAATCTCTCTACAGACATTAAACAAAGAATGTAAGATCATAACTCCAAACAGAGAACAACAAATCTGGCTGTTCTTCTATTGGAAGACACTTACACAAGTAGCCAGTTTATCTCCAAATACAGCACCTCAGCACGACAAAGCTTTAACTCACCAACAATTTCTCATCAGTTCAGAAACTTCCAATTTTCCCACAGATGACTAGTTTCATTCTACAGTTAGGGTTCCTGTCTAAGTGGTTTCGACAATACAAATAGATGGGACTAGCATAAGCTTATCAGATAGTCGACTAGTGATGCATCTAATTGCTTCTCCCCATTGCTACCTCAATCAGACAGAGGCAGTAAGGACAGGGGAGGGGGAGAGCAAGAGCTGGTGGAGCTGGCTTAAAAGCCAGTTCCCCCAGTACCATCTCCACATGGGGCAGGAGAGGTAGAAGCACAGCAGAAACAGCACGAGGGGGACTGAATCAGCCTCCGCTCGCACCGGTTCTGCTACTATTATGCTTTTGAAATTTCAAAAGCAGAAGCTGCAAGCTCCCTGCGGGGCTTCCTTTTGAAATGTACAAGAGCCCCAGTCCCCCACTGGCCCCGTGCTCCCTGCGGGGCATTCGTTTTTGAACTGTAGCAAGAGTCCGGTAGGGGCCTAAGGAGGGGAGATAAGGAGAGTTTTAGGGTAGGTGAGAGGAGGAGGGAAGGAAGGAAGGAAGAAGGGAGGGAGTAAGTGGCTTGGGGAGGAGGTTGGGAGGGGAGGGAAGTTTGGGGAGTCCCATCTGTGCAAGGAGAGTGAGAGGCAGAGGTAGAAACCCAGCACTCTCTGCAAGCCTCCTGGGAAAGGGAGTGATGGGGAAGCTGACTGCATAGGGGGTAGGTGGAGGTAAAAGAGGGTGAATGGGTGCTGGCATTGGGGATGAGGTAGAAACGGAGAGTTATGTTTGTGCTTTGTGTCCTGGGCTCAGGTGGGGTGGAGGGGGTGGAAAATTTGTGCTGTGTCCTGACTCCAATCTAGACTGCTGGTGCCTGCAATTTTGAGACGCAGGATTTTATCACAGCCCCCAACTGGACTGAGAGGAACAGACTGCATAGAGTAGTTGGGGGAAAGGGAATAGGTGGGTGCTGGCATCTCTTCAGTGAGGTGGAGGCAGAGGTAGTTTGTTTGGGGTGTCTTGATTCACTTGCTGCAGTCCAGATTGCAGCCCTCTCTGGCTGGCTCGGTTGGAGGGAGGAATGGAGAGAAAAGCAGGCTGCATGGGGGGGAATGTGTGCCAAGACAGTTGCATGATTACATTTCAAAGTTTACATAGATGTTAATGGCTTAAGGTAAGAAAAGAAAAAGTTTCAAAAAAAGATCTAAAACTCTGATCTTAATGAATTTTTTAAAATCCTGTGTTACTAATTAATACATGGTATATTGTATTACATAAAGGCAGGGGTGGGCAAAAGGGCCTCCATGGGCCAGATCCTGCCCGCCCAGCTCGTGGATCCATCCTGCGGAGGCCCTGCTGATCCCACGCCCCCAGGCCAATTGGGACCTGGGGGTGGGGGAGCACGGGAAGCCTCCTCCCGCCCTGCCAGGAGCACGCAGCACTTTGAAGTGCCACACACTACTCGCAGGGCAGGGGGGTGGTGGAGGAGGACGAGAGAGCAGAGGAGGCTTTGTGCACTCCCCCGCTCCCAGGCCAATCAGGGCCTGGGCAGCTTCAGGAAGCTTCCGTTGCCCTACTCTGGTCCTGCGAAGAGGGCCACGTGCTCTTCATAGGGTGGGAGGAGGATTCCCACGTTCCCTCATCCCCAGGCCCTGATTGGCCTTGGGGTGGGAGAGCATGCCAAGACTCTTCCAGGGCATGGGTACCTAGTGGGAAGGGGGGGCAGCAAAGGGGTTCCCCCACCCCGACCAATCATGGGCTGGGGATGGGTAGCTCCACCCCTTCCTGATAGGCCCCGCCCCCTCGGGGGTGGCCCAGGGCTACTTAAAAAATGTTTGAATTGGCCCCCAGGCAAAAATAATTGCCCACATCTGCATTAAAGGCAGAGGTGGGCAATTATTTGTTGTGGTAGAGTTGTGGCTCTTATGAGTCATAAATACCGAATACTAGGTCTCATTCTATTTGTTTTGTAGGATGAAACCTTATTTGAATGCTCTTTGAAACATGCATTTGTCTACATACCCTGAAGCCATGTGTTAATTTGTTCTTGGGCTTCTACTTTCTGAGTTGGTGATACACACAAGGTGAAAGTTTCAAACACGAGAACTTATCTGTTTTTAACTGGTCTCTGTTTCACTCACTTATATAGCATGGATCCCAAACACTCCCCAGAGAAATTGTATAAACCTTAATGAATACCTTTTACTCTCCTTTCCAGTGTCAGTAAATATTGTATTAGTATTTGCAAGGAGATCATGACTATTTCTAGTTGACTCTGATTTGCTTAGCATCTTAAGCTGAGCTATGTGTGGATAATATGCATTTTGGTGTTTGCCACTTGAGTTGTTAGAAAAGATGAGAATACATGTACTCCAAGAGCAGTGTTAATTTTCTTTTCTATTTGATTTCATATTAAATAGAAATATGGTTTTTTGTATTGGTGGTGCACATTCACACACTACCTCAATATTGGTGTTGCAAATAGGAAATTTCAACTCGCCCAAAAGAAAATTCAACCCGCCGAAGGATAGAAAATGTTAAGAGGGAACACTGGATGGGATTAGTGCTTAGAGGGGAAAAATAAAGATTTATAGATCATTATATGTTGGATTTCTGCTTTTAAGAAGTTAATTAAAAATTAAGATTTTCCTCCAGGTGTTTATGCACAAAGTGACAGCTATTACAGCTCTACTATATCTCTTACAACAAATTCATATGCATTAGGGAAACTTAATTTTAGCATTCAACAATGGGAAAAAGTAGGAGAGCTACCCAGAATATTTTGGGGGCATCAAAGCCAAATATGGAAAAGAGGAAAGGAGACTGATGGGATGCCCAAAAGGAAAGTACAGGTTTATTAATAAAGACATTTTACAGAAGTCCATCTCAAAATAAACAATATGGAAAAGGCGGATTGGGTAACTGCATTTCTCCTGCCTCATAATTAAGGTTAAGATTTTGTCATGGTTATTTTTAGTAGAAGTCACTAATAGGTCATGGGCAAGAAACAAAAAATAATGGATACTTATAACCTGTCTGTGACTTGCTTAAAGGGGAGGGGGCGGTTACCTGCCTTCTCAGGCACAGGGCTGAAGCAGATAATGTCCTGGATGTCTCTAGAAGCCAAGGAAACTGTGACCTCTATGATAAAATCTTATTCTAACTCATAATACAAGGGCAAGAGGATGTTCTATCAAATAGAAATATGGTAAATTCAATACCGATAAAAGAAAATGTTTCCATACAAGGCATAATTAGACTATGGAAGTCAATCACTGGATTGTGAGGACAAAAAAAAAAGAGCAACATTCAAAAGCAAACTGGATGTTTATATGAGTAATGCTAATTTTGGTCATTCCTATTGAGTACCAAAAAAACAAAAACAAAAACAGGATAAAATATGAAATCTGTACTTCACCCACAAACACTCTGCCTCCCATATTAAAAACAATAAATTTCAATAAAAAACAAGGACTAACATGTTTGCCACACTCATGGTTACTCTATTTAATTACTACATCTTTACTTCACCCACACCTATTGTCTCTTGACTGCAAGCTTTGGGAGCAGAGATGATGATATGTTTTTGCACTGCCTTGCACAACAGGACTCCAATCCTGACTCAGAGCCATTAGGCACTGTTTCTTTGTATTCTGATAAATGAACACTGGTTTAGATTTTTAGCCAACAGTAGCAAAAAGCACAGTTTTTCAAGAAGAAGATTATCCCACATCTGCCTTCAATAGGGTTTCCTGTACTTTTTACTGAAACAAAACAATGGACTTGATGGACAGCAGGTATGATCCAGCACGGAAATTCTTTTCAAATAGCTTTCCCCAGCCCTCAGTAGAAAACTACTTTACTGGAGATTATTAATCTTGCTTCATGTAGGAGTCATACCAATATTTATCAATTTTTTTAAGTTTATACAATTTTATTTATCAAAAACACTCATTCCCAAACAGCATGCAAACTTACCACCAGATGCATTACTTATAGCAGATCCCGCTGATGCCACCTTTGAGACAGCTGCTGGATTGTATGTCCAAGAGGTCCCACAAACCTCTACTTTTAAGTCACTGTCTGAATAAATCTGCTGGACTCGGCCAACTTTACCTAAAGTCTATATTGAGGAAAAGGAAGAGACCAATAAAGATATTTGGATGTTAGCATACTACAGCAATTTTATAAAGTAAAAGTTTTTGAAATCTCACTTTCACTTCAGTAACATTTTCATCTTAATTCTAATGGCTGAATTATAGTGTAAGCAGATTGTTAAACTGTGTCTACATTGCTACAGGTTGGAACCCACTGGTCCAGCACCTTTAGGACCTGTCCCAAACGAGGGGATTTGCCAAACTAGGGAAGGTCCCTCCCCTCTTGGCCCGGGCTGCCACCAGGCTAGAGCTGCTTCCCCAGACCCACGGGGGCTCTCTAGATGCTGCTGGTCCCGCTACTGCCAGGGCTGGAACACCACAGCAGTGCAACTAGGGCAGAGCTCCACAGCTCCCTGGCTCTGTGGCTGGAGCTCCACAGCTGGGGACAGGCAGAGGGACAGGGACAGAGCTCCATGGACGGGGACAGAGCTTCCTGGCTGCTGCTGGGGCTCCCCGGCTACTAGAGCCAGAACAGGGCCGCGCGCCACAGCCAGGGCCGGGACCAGAGCTCTCTGGCTGCCACCAGAGCTCCACAGCCACTGCCAGCCTAGAAGCTCCCTGGGTGCTGGGGCCAAGGAGCTCTTCTGGGGCCAGGGAGCTGCGCTGAGGCCTGAACTCCCCATCATGCCGCCCGTCCTCCCTCCGCCTCCAGAAACGCACTGTGCTTCCATCTAAGTCGATGGTGCCCCCTATGGCACTCCTACCCTGCCACCAGACCTCCCTGTTCCTGGGCTCTGTGGTCCAGGAACATCCACGGTCCATGACACATCACCGATGTTGCTGGACCAGGGAGTCCGTTACAGGAGGTACAACCTGTATTAAGTTGGGCTTTCCAGAGTTATACTAGCTCAATTCAACCGAAAAAAGTACCTCTTTTCCTAGTCTAGACAAGGCCTAATGTCAACCCAACTCCAACATTTTGAAGGTTAAACCAATTCCAACTATAATGAAAAATACCATACTAATATACCACTGTGTACACGCACACACTTACAGGGAGCATTGCTTCAGCCCATTCTCCATGACCTCTTTGAAGAAGTTTAATTCGTTCTAAATCATAACAAACTTGAACAAGGTCACCAACTTGAAATTGTGAGGTACCTCCCTCTGCACCTTGAGCAGCATCTCCACTTCGTACAACATTGGCTTTGGTGAGAACAGCTGGATTAAATGTCCACCTAGAAAATAATGTATTTCAAATAAACGATCTTTTCTTTTTTTTAAATGAAAAAGTGGGGGCTGTATTTTAAAAGGTTACTTGTTGTCTTAAGATATGCTTTTGTGTCCAGATTTTTTTGTGATTGAACACTATGGCTTAGCTGCTGTATATTACTTTCCCCACAAATTTCCACATAAATTTACCAGCATGTAATTGTTACAGTAATCATCTGAAAGATGCACCTGAAGCAGTCAGAAAGGTCCCATGGTTGGTTCTTGCAGCTTGAGGGGAAAAGCTACTCAGCTATGTAGTGACTGAGCTTTGATTTGCTGGGGAGAGAGAGAGACCCATTGCCTAGGGCAAGGATTAGTGGCTTAGAGTCTGGCATCCCTCTCAAAATATGGGTAAAAAAAGGAAAGGACCCAGGATAACTGGTAAGGGTGGATTGCTCTGGTAAGAATTGTTAGGGAAGGAGGTAGCTTGCAATCTAACTAAAGTGTTTTCTTCCCTCAGACAGAGTGGTATAGATAAGAAACCATTTCAACTAGGCCTGCAGCAAGATACTTGGTTAACAAATCAAACTATTTTGATTTGTACTGTGCAATATAGTGGTTTCTGTGCACTTAATTCTTGTTGCGCTAGATTATATTCACTTAAAGCAGCACATGACAGACAAACATGTGCATGTAGAGTGGGATCGGTAAAAGCCTCTCAGTGGGGCCCAGGGCTTTGATTCAGTCCATGAGACAGTTCCAGGCTCCGCCCCCTAGTGCGTTGCCGGGAAGCAGGAGAGGGACACGAGCCCTTTTAACGGCTCCTATTTAAAGGGCTTACATCTTCCCCACACCTTGCCTAGCAGCCACAGGGAAGGCACGAGACTTTTAAATAGAAGCAGTTGAAGGGGCTCGCATGTTTCTGGCTCCCTAGCAACGCGCTAAAGGCGCAGGGAGCTGCGAGCCCTTTTAAGTGCTTCTATTTAAAGGGCACTCGTTTTCCCCGCACCTGTCGGGCAATGCATTGCCTAGCAGCCACGGGGAAAATGAGAGCCTTTTAAATAGAAAGAGTTAGAGGGACTCACAGCTCTAGTGACTCTAGCGCATTACTAGGGAGCCAGAGACATACAAGCCCTTTCATCTGCTTCTATTTAAAGGCCTCGTACCTGCTGGGTGGCTGCATTGCCTGTCAGTCACCCAGCACATGCAAGCCCTTTAAACAGAAGCAATTAAAAGGGCTCGCAGCTTTCAGCTCCACTGCCCATTGCCTGGGAGCTGCCCTGGAGGCGTGAGCTCTTTCAACTGCTTCTATTCAAAGGGCTTGCGCCTGCTGGGTGGCTGCCAAGAAACAGGTTAGCAGTGGAGGCCTGGAGCTGCAAGCCCTGTTATATGAAATCTAAGCCTCCACCCCAGACAACTCTGGGAGGAGACAGCCCCCAGAACCCTCCCATCTGCTCCTGGTCCTTTCCACTGGCCAGAAGTCAGAGGGCAGGGACCCCAGGCCAAGCAAAGCTCCCAGTAGAGTAGCTCTCACCCCCACCACTTCTGGGTCAGCTCACAGCCACTTCCAAAATTTGTGAAGTGGCCTCCCTTCAAAAATTATTGCCCTCCCCGATCTAGAGCTATTTTTCGGTGGATAGTCCATGTTTGTCTGGTATCGCAGTCTCAATAAATCAAAAGCAAATTTTGTAATCAAGCTGTTGCTTAAAAGGTTACTGTGGTAAAGAATGCATTTGTTCTCAATCAAATGCCTAACGCTTTTGATCACTATAAAATTCCCTCTCCATTCACTTCTGTTTTAGAAATATGGAGATTTCTTATTTTGGAAAAATACAAAGAGATTATAAAAATATGTTGTGTGCTCACATATCAGAAAAGCAACATCCTCTAGATCTTAGCCATTCATGATCAGAACCACATACAGCTCACCCTCCCTTATAAGAGCAACATCTTCAGATACCCAAGAGGTGATAAATTTACACGAGGATATTTATCCTGTTTTGTTTCAAATATAAACACTGAACAAGAATGCTTTTATAATATAGATCTGTTGAACTTACTTGGACTCTTATGATATGTCTACACTGCAACTAGCACTATTCCGAAATAATTTAGTCCATGTCTACACAGGAAGCAGTTATTTCGAAATAGTGTCAAAATACTGTCAAGCTGGAGGGCTTCTTACTCCAACTCCTGTAACTCTCATTGTATGAGGAATAAGGGAAGTCGGAGAAAGAGTGCTCTATTCTGAAATAAGTGCTGTGTAGACGTTCCTAATTTTGAAATAAGCTATGAAATTGACGTAGCTCAATTTGCGTAGCTTATTTCAAGTTAAGCCCTGAAGTGTACATGCACCCTTAATTTGTTCTCCAGTGGTCACATTTGGCAATATGTATTACATATGAATCAAGGGACTGTGGACCTTTATGGTAAATATAAGTATCATATTAGCCTCTACTGTATGGTAGTATACTAGTTCTCAAAAATATTCCCTAAAGACATAGCCAAAAAAAGAAAAAAAAAACAGATACAATACTGAAAGCTATATGCAACCAGGGCTTCATGCTTGGTGTAAAGGAGCCGTGTAATATTCATATTGTTAAGTAATCATTTTAATTAGAGAATAATTTTAACAAATACCACTATCTGACAAACAACATTCAAATAAAAGCTAAAGGGATTTTTTTTAATACATTATATCAAACACACACAAAAACTGAATTAAAGGCAGGTTAAAAGTGAGAAAATAGCATCTCTCTTTCATACCAAAACTTCTCATACATGTTATACAGGTTTTTATCATTGAGCTATGGTAGATGAGAAGCCCTTATTACATTAGCCAGGAAGAAGATGAGCATTTGTATTTGAATGGTGGTATGCGAGGAGAATCAAAAAATGGTTAAAAAAATTACAGGCTCTGCAACTTGTGAAATTAAAGAATATTGTCATAAGAAATGTTCAAGAACATGTAACAAACCTGTTGCCACTTGGATATTGTACTACTATGTCATGATCTTCATCAATACCACAAACTGTGCCAGTGGTGGTTAAGGTCTCAAACATGCCATCAGTCCATCCCCCATGACCATGCTGCAAAGACTGTACAATTTCCAAATCAAGGTCGATGTTTACCAGATCACCAATCTGCAACCCACCAGGATTCCTGTTACCATTTTGCTCACCTGAAATTGAATGAAAGGAAAGAGGACTCTGAACATCCAAATCAACATCTGTAAGCTCAATAAAAGCAACTTCAAAAAGAAATCTAACAGCTGCCAAATACACAGTTTTAAAGATTTGCTACTTTGCACGTTCCCTTCCCTCTTAAGTCAAGGTTTACATGTGTTGGGTGCTATACATATTAAGGAATTTTTGCACCAAACCTGACTGGACACACCCACACCTAAAAACCAAAATCAGCCTACTACTTTCATAATAAAATATGCCCATATACCACAGATCAGATACTAGAATGGTGAGTGCAGTGTAAGAACCTCTCTTAATAACTCACAAAATATAATAGTTCACGTAACATAAAATAAGCCAGTACAACTAATTAAAGACATTTAGTTAGAAGTTTGAATGCTGATGACTTCATGTTTATGTCTGCAATATTGTATTAAAATGATGTTTAAATAATTCTACAATACTATGCAGTTTTCTTTTGTTATTATCAGAAAAATGTAAAGGTTAAGCACACGCATGTCAGAAATATTAAATAGGAAACCAACTTTAACAACTTCCAAGCAACATATTTGGTATACCATTTAGCAAACATATCTACAAACAATTAAAGCGTATCAGTTAAGATACCAATTATTGTAGCATTTAACCATAGTAATGGAAATAAGTGCTACCATTGAAATCTCATTTATTTGGTGCATTCTTTTAAAAACCATTGATTTACTTTGGTTCAGCTCTCTCACAAACTCTGACTTGGACACTGAAATGTTTCTATTTACTTAAAACTATTGCTTTCCTTCTTCAACTCACCTAGCACAGGACAGTGGTCCCTGTAGAAAGAGCCTCCTTTGGCATCCTGAACACATTTCAGGTCAGACTACAGAAAGATTTTTAGACAACTTTAGTTTTAACAGAGTGAACTTGCAGGTAACAAAAATATAATGAAATAATAGAGGTTGAAAACCTAATGCATATACAAATAAATGCATTCTGCCATTTCTGAGAGGAAAGAAAATTTAAAATATTTTCCAGAATTCTAACAGATCTATTTCTACTACCTATTGCATTAAGAAGGCCTGGACATTAATAGATTTGATAAGCTTTACCCAGAGTTATTATACGTTTTTAAATGTGATGCTGAAATTAATGCTTTTAGGAACTAATAAACAACAATAACCAAGAGGCCTCAAATTCATAATTACTATTAGAATCGCAAAGAGTAACTTTAAACTATTTCACAATGTTACCTTAATTAAAAACAGAATGCAAGTAGAAGAAGAATATAAAATTAACACTACAGAGTTCATGAATATCTGAAAACCATACTAGACATATTAGCCATGCCTGTGAAGCATCAGCTTGGGTAAGGATTTGTCAGTGTTACCATTATAGAGACTATACATTTTTGTTTAAAATGCTTATGACATTCATTTTAACATATTATGGAGTAAAACTTGCCTTCTAACTTCTGGATTCTGCAGAATATCTGATGAAGTGATAAAATAGCTGTTTTTATTCAGAAAAAAAGCAGAATAAAAGGATATTTTGGTTGCTTTCAGAATTCTAGGTTTAACTAAAACCAGATAATTTTCTTTAAAAAGTTCTACTGGTTATTTCTCCAAAAGGGACTGTTCCATAATATGAAAAAATTAAATGTGAAAAAGAGCTGCCACATAAACCCAATAAAAACTCTCACGATTTCCTCTTCATTTAGCTTCTGCATATCCCCTAATCCAAATTGCTGCCATCTGGTGTTACTCTTTAGGGAACACAATTCCCATCAGGCAAAGGTCATTCTATGTTTGAGGGGAAGGGAAGAGAAAACTGATCGGGCAATGCAATTCAAACTATAGTAATGGGGAAAAGAAAACAAAAGAACAGGTGGTGGAAGATATACAAGTTAAACATGCTTTCACAAAGCCCTTATTTTCACAAAGCCCTTATTTCAGTCTCTCACTTCCCCAAGCCTTTTTGCAATGAGCTATCCTCCAGCAAGAGAGATGAATGGAGATTCATTCATATCTCTTCTAATCCTTAAATTAGTAACAAACAGTGCTTTTTTTGTGATGGTACTGCCCGGTACGCAGTACTGGCACCTCCAGACAGAGCTCAACAACTTTTCCCCTGGAGCACCGGCACCTTTTTTTTTTTTTAACCAAAAAAACACTGGTAACCAATATAATGCTTACATCCCTTTAAACACACAATACTACCTCCTAGCTACTAATGTCTCTAGGAGCTAAAAACAGTATGATGCAAGCCCCTTCTTTCGGAATTAATTCTCAAATTCTTAAAGCCGTATGCTGCTATTTAACAACACTACATATACACACACAGGAGAACAGATGCCAGTATAAATATATAAATTTTTTGAACTGTGCACAGTATTTTGCAATGCTATAGCTCCTCTGATACAGTACCATTATTAATGATATATACTGCCAGTACATACTATTAATACTTCCACGAAAGACTCTAGTTGTACATCAAGATTTCATCCACTTTACCAGGATTTTACATGGTAAATACACACAGTAGTCTATGGAGTGTGTAATAAATATTGGTCAGTATCTCAGGGTATGCCTACACAGCAAAGTTATTTCGAAATAACTTTCCTAGTGTCTACACAGCCAAACCACTATTTCAAAATAAATTCGAAATACCGGCGCGCTTATTTAGAATTTGGGAAACCTTATTCTTCAAGGAATAACACCAAATTCGAAATAGCTATTTCGAAATAAGTGCTCTGTAGACGCTTATTTCGAAATAGGGGGCCTCCAGCCTTCCCAGGGTGCCCTGGTGGCCACTCTGGCCTCAACCAAGAACATTTCTCTCCCTGCCTGCCTCCCCGGAGCCCTTAAAGGGGTAGACTCTGGACACAGTGCCTGTGCCAGCTCCAAGCCAGCAAGCCCAGAGCCAGCAGTCACTGACTCTGACCCAGTGGCCCCAAAACATGAGAGAGAAAGCCACTGGCAGCCAGCCCTCCACCGCTCCCCAGAAGCACTCTGCCAGCTCCCAGGAGCTCGCCATTTCCAGGAGCCTGCCAGGGCCTGGAGAAGGCGGGCCCCTTCCTGGTCCAGGGTGGAGATCGTGGACCTTATTCAGACTTGGGGGGGATGCCCCCACCGTCCATGATCTCTGCACTAGACGGAGGATCGCGGCCATCTATGGCAGGATAGCTGCCAGCTTGGCCGCCAAAGGCCACATGCGAACCCAGGAGCAGGTCTGCATGAAAATCAAGTTGGTCTGGTGAGACCCTCCCACCCCTGAGCCTGAGCTTCCCCTCCCACTTCTTCCCCTTGCTTCCCCCTTCCAGATTTCCCCTTCCCCTCTCCCACCCTCTCTCGTCCCCTCTCCTGCCTCCTTTCCCCAGTCTCACCAGAGTTTCATTCACCCTCCCACCCCCCAGTTTTGTTAAATAAAGAGAGTTTGTGTTTATGAAAAAACGTGTATTGTATTTTACATCAGTAAGGCGGGGGGGGGAGGGGGCAGTGGAAGGACGGGAAGGAGGCACAAACTCCCAGTGGGGCAGACCAGGGAAGCTCTTAGTGCTCCTCAGGGTGGAAGCTCTCCCGCAGAGCCTCCTGGATACTGACAGCCCCCCAATAGATCTCCCAGATGGCAGCCTGCAGAAAGTGCAGCCAGGCTCGCAGCAACGCAGCCAAGAGAAGCACCAGAGTCCCCGGGGGCAGCTCCAGCTCCATGTTGCAGAGTGCTGTGGTTTCCCGAGTGAGGGCAAGCAGAGCATGCAGAGACAAAATGCTTTGCTGTCCTTCATTGAAGTAGGCAAGCAAGCAGGGAAACCTGAGAACCGGCTGTACAGGGGGGTCCCTTTAGGCACAGCCATACAAAGACACTCCTGACTTGATGCCCTGCCGGACCTGGTTCTGGCCCGCCTTAAATGCAATTCAGTGTGCACTCAGTGTGGACGCACTATTCCGAAATAGCAAAACGCTATTTCTAAATGCAGTGTGTGTGTAGATGTGTTATTTCGAAATAAATAACTATTTCAAAATAGCTTATTTCAAAATAAGGTTGTAGAATAGACATACTCTTAGAGAATCAGATATAGTACTCGGAGAAGCATAGCCAGTTGGCATAGGCAATATGGATGTTTTATTCTTGGAAAGATAACATTTAAAATACATGTTCCAAGTAAGCAAAATCTCAAATTGTATCAGATTACAGCAATTCGCTCCATGTTCTGTCAACATAACTAGAGATATGCAAATCAAAATCAATAGAACTGTAATCTCCCCTCTTCTTTATATTATGCTTATTCTACTCCTCCTTTTGCTCAAATATTATTTTCTGATTGCCATGATAATAAATATACTGATACTTCATGCACCAAAAAGAGAGTTAATACATTTTTTTTCTTGAGTTGGTAAACTGCAATTTTGTAACACTTATTTAAAGGACACTCACAATGAAAACTTACTCTATTTATAACTTAATCCTAAACAACCCCCACAATTTGGATAAAGCAGTAACAATGGTCAGACCATCAATACCTCTCTATAGTTAAGTTCATGCCATGAAATCATGCCAAAAATTAGTACTGACTAAACTTTAGAAAGACGACTATTTAAAAATAAGAAAACAGGCTAATCGTTCCATGTCAAAAATAACAGCACAAACAAATGTTCAGAGATAACTGTAAAAATAATTAGAAATAGTAAATGTCTACAGTATCAGGAGAGACTAAAAATACCAGGACTGTTTAGAGAAAAGATGAAGGTACACTGAGTAATGAATGATATGGAAAAAGGTGCATCAAACACTCCAAATTACCTTCTCCTCTCTCTACAAGAGCTTTTCAAAGAAAATGAAAGACAGCAAATTTAAAATGGGCAAAGGGAAATACATGGGGCAGCAGGAAACTATATTTCCTAGTATCTTAAGTGATCACATCACTTTCTGGTCATAACATTATGGCTAAAACTTGAAATGTGGATAGGGACCATTTGCTGCAGGCAATGTTGAAGCCTTAGTTTCCATCCACAGTTATAACTGATAAACACTGATATAAATAGTAAGTTACTGAAGAAGTGGATTTATAGCAAGATACATTTTAAATGTATAAAGTTGAAAACTGTCAATATGAAAAATTAAAGCACTTTTTATAAAAGTCAATGTAGTTTTTTTAATTGAAACTTCTTTTAAAAATAAGCTAGTATTCTTTATTAAATGTCTGATCAAACATTTCTGATTTGTATAAAATAGTATCTATCGAACACACATGTATTAAACCATTCTATTTGTGGTTGGGCTATTAAAAGTTTTATTATCTATTTAGGCAATATTCTAAGAACATTAATAATGTATCCAATTATAAATATTCCCCTTTGAGACCATGAACTTGTTTAGTCTGATTATGCCTCTGAACGACTGAAGTCAGATGAAGTGTGCTTGGGCAAAAACTGACAAGTGCTAGAATTTTGATTTTATTCTAACAAACTAAATTTTATCCTCTGAGTGCGAATGTGGTGCAAAAATGTACTGTTTTTCCAAAAGCTGATGTCATCCTGTTAAATTTAATCTTTGTTGCAGGAATATAACAGAAGGACATACTAACTTATATTAGAATATCTCCTCCCTGTAATATATGTAGCCAAGAAAAAAATAACAGAAAGGAAGCAATGATAATGTTCATCAATATGTCTCAGCAACTGACTATCAAAAAAAACCCTTTTCCTTGGGCCACACTAAGGTAAGTGCTTATAAAAAGAAACACAGCAATTAAAAGAAGTCTCATGACCAAATCTGACCCACTCTTTGTGGTTGTTATACTCTAAAAATTAAGAAATCAAAACTAGAAACTTAGTCTAAAGTTTCATATACACTATCTCTAATACAGGAAAAAAAATACTCAAACTAAGTGAAAACGTTTTGAGCGTACTTCACAGTGAAAATTAAATTATATCTGAAAGACTTGCAGCGTTATAATCTAGATACATGGTATTATGGCAATTTTCAAAAACCAAGTTCTGAGGATGTTAAAATTGGGGCCTTCTAAGGAAGTTTAAATAAATATATATTTATATTTTTTTAACCAATTCTAATTAAAGCAAACCATTAATGCCATGAGAAAAATTGTATTTGCAAATGTAAATAGCTATTATATTCAGATAAAAGTCCACCTTAAAGTTCAAATGATTTGTACCAATGTCTAATAAACTTTCAGATCAGCCTTCCTTCCTAATGCATATTCATTATCCATCCAGCTGTATTCACAATGAACTTATTAGAGCATGCAAACAGACAGAAGGATATCACAAAAGGAAAAGAACAAAAGCACAGCATACACTAGTCTTACTACCCTTCCCCTCTCCCAAGTATTTTACCCTTTGTGTTGCTTTACTCCTTACCATGCCCTCGAAGCCAACTCTGTAAAGATTTTTAGCACCATTGTCCCATAAAACATATGCTGCACTGTGTGGGCTTGATGCACTCCAGTCCTGAATTTCAGTTACCTATTGAATTTTAGAACAGAATAATGGGTTACAAGAGTTTAGCAACCTGTTTTGAACTTCATCCACCACTTTCACCTAAAGATAAAATCATGATACAGAAGGATTTACTGGCATTTTTTTAAACCAGAACCCCAATTCCCCTAACTCCATTTTATCATTTTCTACCAACAATGTTTATAGACCGTAATTAATGCCATCCCTAGGATATAAACATCCAGACTGCCACTTCTATAAAATGCATATTTTTCAAGTAAGCTGGTTTAACAATGGTTAAGAATTACAAAATGAAATTTACTGCTTTACAGTGCTTTTTACAAGTACTTACAAGAAAAAAAAAACCTTTCATATATGGTGCTAGGTGATTAAGTCATCCAGTTCCAGATGTGTTACCATAGTTAGAATACATATGATTAATATCGCTTTAAAATAAAAAATCTATTTTGAGGTTACATGAGAGAATTGGTGAAATGCTATTCAGTATATAATTCAATTTTCATTATTGCTTGTAAGTTCCTGTGTGTAGATTTTCATTATCAATAACGGAATTATTTTAATATTTTGAATAATCTGGAAATTTTAAGAAAAAAATACAAAAAAATGTCAGGAAGATATCGTCTCAAGGTGCAGTCTCTGAAACTCTTTTTAACTTATGTTTTAAAAATTGGATTTTAAGTCTGTTTCCCCATAGTAATCACTGGGGATCCCCAAATGGCTAATTCCAGATTGTATATAGATTCTTCATATCACTAAAATATATAGTAACTATGCTTGCATAGCAAAAATATTTAAATTATGCTTAGTAAGTAAAGTAAATGTAATTCAATGCATCAATTTACTAAAACAATAAAAGTTATTCCCATTTTCTATAATCTTTCTTTAACCTATGTCAAAGAAATCATATTCATGCCTTACTTCCTGTTTAAAATCCATACCTGATTTGGCCATATAATTAATTATCCTGAATTTTTTTCTACAATTTTTGTTTCCTAGAGCTATGATTAGTGCATAGTGGAGCACTATGCAAAGTGCTCCACCTAGGAAGGAACAATCAGTTTCACACATACAGAATGGGAAGCGATTGTCTAGGAAGGCGTATGGCAGAAAGGGATCTAGGGGTTATAGTGGACCACAAGCTGAATATGAGTCAGCAGTGTAATGCTGTTGCCAAAAAAGCAAACATGATTCTGGGCCACACTAAGGTAAGTGCTTATAAAAAGAAACACAGCAATTAAAAGAAATCTCATGACCAAATCTGACCCTCTCTTTGTGGTTGTTATACTCTAAAAATTATTAGGTGTGTTGTGAGCAAGACACGAGAAGCCATTCTTCCGCTCTACTCTGCACTAGTTAGGCCTCAGTTGGAGTATTGTGTCCAGTTCTGAGCACCGCATTTCAAGAAGGATGTGGAGAAATTGGAGAGAGTCCAGAGAAGAGCAACAAGAATGATTAACGGTCTAGAGAACATGACCTATGAAGGAAGGCTGAAACAATTGAGTTTGTTTAGTTTAGGAAAGAGAAGACTGAGGGGGGACATGATAGCAGTTTTCAGATATCTAAAAGGGTGTCTAAGGAGGAGGGAGAAAACTTGTTCATCTTGGCCTCTGAGGATAGAACAAGAAGGAACGGGCTTAAACTGCAGCAAGGGAGGTTTAGGTTGGACATTAGGAAAAAGTTCCTAACTGTCAGGGTAGTCAAACACTGGAATAAATTGCCCAGGGCGGTTGTGCAATCTCCATCTCTGGAGATATTTAAGAGTAGGTTAGATAAATGTCTGTCAGGGTTGGTCTAGACCCGTCGTCACCAACCAGTAGATCGTGAGCTACCGGTAGATCTCAGGGGCTCTAAGAGTAGCTCTTGAGCACTCTCTGAACTGCGCACCTGCGCAGTACATTTACATTAGATTTCCTCATTTGAGGAGCAGCTACTCCCCGAGCAACAACACAGGTGAGTAGCTGCGAGAAATGGTGGGAGCTGGGAGGTCGGGAGGGCTGAAACACCCCAGCCAGCTGACTGTGGCTTTCATAGCTGGAGCTAGGCGCAGTCTCTCTGGGCTGAGCGCAGGGCAGCCAGGCTGGAGGGAAGAGAAGCAGCTGCCCGGCCAGCTGGCCATGGTGCTCAGCCAGGATGCACCACGCTCCACGTGGGCTGGTGCAGAGAAGAAGCTGCCTGGCCTGCTGGCTGTGGCGTTCAGCCCAGAGGAGGCTGAACCCCAGCACCCTCCCTCCACTGCAGAAACCAGTTTCTTCTGGCACCCTGTCCCCTACTACAGAAACCTGTCCCCCTGCTCCCCTCTGCAGAAACCTGTTCCCCCCAGCACCCTGTCCCCTGCTGCAGAAACCTGTTCTCGCACCCTGCCCCCTCTCCCCTGCCCCCACTGGCACACTGTTCCCTATCCCAGAACCCACTAGCACTCCTCCCCAGTACTGTGTCCCCTGCTCCCAAATGACTTTTCTATGGGTCAGTGACCCCTGACTCAAGGCAGGTTCCCTGCCATTCTCATAAATAAAGACAATGCAGAAACTTTTTGTGTTTAACATAGTATTTTATTTAAAAATGAAGTCTGGCCAACCAACTGGGGCCAAGCCCCCATCTGGCCACAACCACTCCTGCACTCCCCCTTCCCCAGACTCTAGATCTGAGCCTATCAAACACTGGAACCTCATGCCCTCAGCCCCTCACATACCCCAACCCAAATTCCTGCACCTTCACATCTGCAATCCTCTGGCTTGCTTATTATCCCAACACTGTCCAGCCTGGAGCCCCCTCCCCGAGCCAGTGTCCCCTTCTCCACTTCCTCCTGCATCCAGATTTCCTCCCAGAGCTTGCACCTCTCACCCCTTTCCACACCCAAATCCCTCATTCCCACCCCAGAGCCTACACACCCTGTCTCAACACAGCAAGGGTCCAGCTAGACTGCACGAGTTTTTCAGGATTCTGGAGATATCCCAGAAAAACTCTTCTGCATCCAGGGTTGCATCTGTTCTTCCTCTTTTTTAGTGGAAGAGCAAACAGGCTCTTTTGGTCACCCCTATATTCCTCTTTCCACAAGGAATAAGGTGGCTTCCAAAAGAAGGGGTTTTTTTCTGACATTTGGTCCAGTGTAGACAGGCCAAATGTTGGAAAAACCTCTTCCTACAGAAGAATAAAAAAAAAAAAGCAGCAGTATAAGGACTGGGGATAGCAAGTGATGGAGAGAAGAACAGAGAGGGCGGGGCTTCAAGGAAGGGGCGGGGCAGGTAGATCTTGGCTTGGTCTGTCATTTAAAAAGTGATCTTGGGTATAAAAAGGTTGGAGACCACTGGTCTAGACTGTATTTGGTCCTGCCATGAGGGCAGGGGACTGGACTCAATGACCTCTCGAGGTCCCTTCCAGTCCTAGTATTCTATGATTCTGTGACTCATCAACTGATTAACAGAATTGCATCTGATTTTATATTAAGTTCTAACATGCTGAAGTTATCTTTATTCCAAGACAGCAGGCTAGCACAAACTATATCATGAAGAGATCATAATCTCTCTGTACCTGCAATTAAAAAACTTCCAGAATTGTCTAAAATCTAAAAAAGTCCAAATAAAACTGAAGACCTCTAAAACAACAAATCCCAAAGTAAAACCTGTTAAGTAAACACATTTTAAAATAACCTGCTGAGCCTGCCTGTATATCACCTGCTGAGTGATATACAGAACAGCTTGGTTTACTCGACAGTAGTTAAGAGAAAACCAAATCCCCTGTTATCGAGGCTGTTTGAGTAGGTATGTCTGATGATGTTAGTTTTTACATTAGCTCCTGAATGGTCATAAATATCACCCACAATCACTATTTTTATGAACATTCCAAAAACCAAGGGCATTCAGGTAATTTGCAAGTCTCATTTTCATTTTTCATCATTTAAACTCAAGACTACATTTTATAATAACTTTACAGTACAGGCAGTCCCCGGGTTACGTACAAGATAGGGACTGTAGGTTTGTTCTTAAGTTGAATCTGTATGTAAGTCGGAACTGGCATCCAGATTCAGCCGCTGCTGAAACTGATCAGTTTCAACAGCGGCTGAATGTGGACACCAGATCTGACTTACATACAGATTCAACTTAAGAACCCCAAGCGTCCCCAAGTCAGCTCCTGCCAGGCAGTCCCCGGGTTACGTACAAGATAGGGACTGTAGGTTTGTTCTTAAGTTGAATCTGTATGTAAGTCGGAACTGGCATCCAGATTCAGCCGCTGCTGAAACTGATCAGTTTCAACAGCGGCTGAATGTGGACACCAGATCTGACTTACATACAGATTCAACTTAAGAACCCCAAGCGTCCCCAAGTCAGCTCCTGCTGACACTGATCAGCAGCTGATTCCAGGAAGCCCAGGGCAAAGCAACTCTGCCTCGGGCTTCCTGTAGTCAGCCGCGGTCAGTTTCAGCAGCGGCTGACTTGGGGACGCCCGGGGCAGAGCAGCTGAGGTGCTGGGGTTGTCCTGTAGCGCCATCCCCCATCCCTCCCACCCCCTCCCAGA